GGGGGGGGGGGGGGGGGGGGGGGGGGGGGGGGGGGGGGGGGGGGGGGGGGGGGGGATCGGGCAGTGTGTGAGGGGCTGCTGTGTTTCCCCTCCTCCAGGAAGCTGAGGTGTGAAAGCAGAGATCCTCGAGCTTTGTGCAAAGGGGAGAAATGGGGTTTATGGGGGGGGGGTTGAGCAGGCTGAGCCCCCTCCTCTGCACGCTCACGAAAACACTCTGTGTCACTTTTTGGGCGAGCAGAAGATTGTTGCAAAGAGAAATGGGACGGAGTGCCACCAAGGTGGGGTTGGGGGGATGTTGTTGAGGTGCTGTGTGTGGGTGGGTCCGGACCCCCCCCTCCCATCCCATCCCTCGTGGTGCCCAAAAGTTCACGGCGGTTGTTCCAATGCTGGCAGTGTTGGTCCTGCCCTGACCCACGGGATCTGGAGTTCAGTGCTGCAACAAGTTGTGAGAGTGCAATGCCTGTGGGGCTGGGGGCTGCCAACGGCCCATCCGCCCTATGAGCACAGTGGGTGGGTGGCAGCCCCCTGGCAAGGAAATGCTGCTCCCTGTGCCCCTGCACTCCTTTAGGGAGGAGGCATAAGCCGGCTGCCCCCACGTGCTGGAGGTGTGGGTGCATTTCAGCCCTGCCAAAAGCAAGCGCTGCTGTCCCCTATGTGTCCCTGAAGTGGGGGGCTCAGTTCGCTGCCCCCAGCCAGCACAGCCGCATCCCCACCCCCTGCTGCAGCTGCTGTCCCCCCCTGGGGCTCTCTCTGCTCTCAGCCCCTTTCCCTGGGTGAGCACTGGGGCCGCTGGCAGCGCCCTTCTGCCGTCCCCCCCTCTCCCTTCCCTCGGCCGAGACAGACGGTGTCACTTTGATGCTGAGACCAACCTGCTTAATGTGTTGGAAGTCTAAACGCGTTAGGGCCGCTTGGTTTGCCACGCTCGTTCCCAGGCCTTTCCCCCCCCAACCCCCCACTGGGCTCGGGGCCGTTCAGCAGCCGACTGTCACTGCTGACGATGGGGGGACACATCCAACCCCTGTGGGCAGGGGATTGTCAGGTGCTTGGGGATGTTTCTTGCCTGCTGTTTCTCATGTCCTGGAGGGACCTGCTGAGCTTTGCCCCAGTGCTCTCCTCCTGTGCCCTCCAAGAGCTGTGGGGTGGTGGGGCAGAGCCCATCCCTGCTGTGTTGCAGCAGCTGCAGACCTGGTGCTGGGGGTCCGGCGCTCGTCCCGGCTCTGCCAACAGATCCCAGCCTGGAACTGGGAGCTCTGGGGACTCTTCCTTCAGTTCCATCCCTTCTGCTGGCCTTGCAGAAGAGCTGGGGTCTGGGGGATGTGTGCTCTGTGCTGGGGGGGGTGAACCCAGCCCCGGGGGAGATGTCAAACCCAGAGGCAGCACACATCCGTTTCCCCAGACCCTGAGCTGCTTTTGCAAAAATCTCTGTGCAAGGCCTGGCTGCAGCGCTGCTCAAACAGGAAAAACCCCAAAGCAGGGGCACGGGGGGGAGAGGTGTGCACTGAGGGTCCTCCCTGGGGGGGCTCTTGTCTAGGGCAGGGGATTTGGGGAAGAGTAGAGCCCACACCCCTCCTCACTGCCATCCTTGGGCGCAGCCGCCCGCATCCCCATGGGTGGGAACTGGGGATGGGTGGTGACCCCAACATTGGTAGAGGTGACTCCCCACAAAAGAAGGTTCTGCCCAACGCTCCCTCCTGCCCGCTCTGTCCTGCACTCCTCCCTGGTGGAAAAATGCCCTCTGGAGCTCATGGGGGGAGTCTGTGCCTGCAGGATTTCTGTGGAAAACCCCCAGGTTTTTTTGCCATCCCCACGCAGGCACCCACCGGAGCGCGGGGCCTGGGGAATTCCAGGGGCTGTTTTGGGGCTGGCTGCACCTTTGGGGGACGCAGAGGTTGTTGTTGAGTTTGGGGATGGGAGGGTTGACGTTGCCTTTGTGGGAATGGCTTTGTGCTGGGGGCACACGGTGGGGATTGGAGATGCATTTTGGAGGGGTGAGGCTCTGTGCGCCCTGCAGGGACCGAGTTGTGCTCGGGAACATGATGGCAGTTTTGCATTTGGTGTGCGACGTGCCTTGAATTTAGGGGAGCACGGGGCTGGTTTCCCTTCCTAGAGGGGCTCTGGGTGGGTTTGCCAAAGCTCCAGCTGCTATTGCCCTGCAGGTGGGCTGCAGGATGAGGTGGGTCGGCTGTGCCACGGTGCAGCTGCGTGCTGGGGGCTGGGATGGGGGCTGTGCTGCTCTCCCACCCCAGTGTGGTTCTTGTGGCTGCTCGCTGGGGCGCATTGGGTGGCTGTGGGGTGGCTCAGGAAGCTGGCAGCCCCCACAGCTCAGGCTCAGCAGAGGGGGCACACGGGGGCTGTTGGTGCATTTCCCTTCTACCTGGAATCACCTCATGCCCCCCTGTCACCCCTCCATGTCCCCCTTCCCATGCATCCTCCTTACATCTATCCCCATCCCCTAGATGTGCAAATCCAGCCCTGACTCTGATGCCAGTGGGGCTGCTTGAGTTTAGGGCTTCATATTGAGACCCCTTGGGGGTACGTGGGGGCCGTGACCCCCTCCGGAGCTCCAGGACTGCAGCCACCAGCAGCACTGGGGGGCACATCAGGTTGTGCCCCTCCACGGCACCTCCCAAACCACAGAGTTCAGATCTGGGGGAGCCGAGTCCTGCAGCCCCCAGAGCACAGAGCCCAAAAATAAACCCGTGCTATGCGTGGTTTCGGGTCCTGCCGCCGCCCTCTGGTGCCCCGGCCAAGCCCTGTGGTTTGCACCACGGCAGCGTTTGAAATCTAAATCTCTCTTTGCTCTTCTCCCACCAGCGCCAGCGAGCAAAGTGCAAAAACCAGAAAAATGCTCTTTTCTTCTCTTCCTTCCCCGCTCTTCGCAGCAACTTTTGGGGGGGGGGGGGGGGGGGGGGGGGGGGGGGGGGGGGGGGGGGGGGGGGGGGGGGGGGGGGGGGGGGTTCTCCAGGGCAGGGCTGTGTGCTGGGGGGAGGTGCTGGGCAGCGCAGCCCCCACTGCCGCCTTTTGATGCGGTTGGGATTTTTATCGGGGCTGGGAGCTCCATCGCCTCGGAGCGGCCGCTGCTCGCACGTTCGGGGTGAAACCCCGCTGGGTGCGCATGGTGGAAGGGGCCCGGGGCCAACACGTGGGGATGGGGTGGGGGCTCGGCCCTTTGTACAGACCCCAACACCACCACCACCCCCCGGAGCTGCCAGGCACGGGGCCTCCCCAGGCTTTCGGGGGGGAGCACATGTGCGGCCCCGCGCCTCGCGCTGCTTTCTTTTTCTTTTCCTCTCTCTCTCGCAAAGGCAATTTTGAGTCAGCAGCGCCCGGTGCGCGCTCTTTCCATTGCTCCTCTCCGCTGCCCGAGCGGCGCTTCCTGCCGCTCTGAGCCCCGACGTGCATCGCTCCCGGTTCCAGAGAACCCCCCGGTCCTGTGCTGCGGGCCGGAATGGGGTCCCGCAATGCTGGGGGAGGGGGGGGGATCCCCGTGCCCATTTCCCCTCTTGCCGTGGGGCAGCACTGGGCTTTGGGGGCCCTTTCGGAGAAGAGCCAGCCTTTGCTTTATGAGAAATGCTGGCACTTCGAGGAAACTGTGGGGGAGGGGGACAAGCTTGGCTCTGCGCACCCCTGTGCCCCCGCTGGGCAGCAGCGCAGCCCGAGGAGCGGGGAGAGGGCAAGGTGCAAAGCTGCAAGGTGACCCCCCTCCCCCCCCTCCACGTTGCCCCTCGTGTTTGTTATTGCTGGAGGGGTACGGGGTTGCTGGGTGCTGCCTGTGTGCCCCCCCCCCCCGGGCTGGGGGGGTCGGTCCTGCCCCACACTGTGGGTGACGCTGCTGCAGGTGGTGGGGTTGGAGCAGGGGATGCCTTCCAGCTCTGTCCTCTGAACGCTGAAACTCCAGCGGGTGCCAAATTGCCCCTTTGAAGAGCCGAACTCTAGGAGTGTGTGTGTGGGGGGGGGGAGGAAGGCAAGCACAGTGCCCCCAGTCAGGGATAGAGATCCCACTGTGACCCCAACCCCATGAAGGTTGGGAACGGAGGGGCTGAGCTCCCACCTGGGGGCACTGGGGTCCCACCTGGAGGCGTTGGGGTGTGCACATGGAGTATTGCCTTGGGAGGAAGGGGGGGGGGGGGCAGGTGCAGCCCCACTCACAGGGTGTCCCCCCCCCCCACCCCCCAGCCATCCCATCCCGTCCCCTTCCTGCCCTTGGCGCAGGCTGGCGCCCGGCCTGAAATAGCAGCGGTGTTGGTTTCCGAACCGGAAGGTGCCTGGGGAGGGGGAGGAAGATGCCGGGGTTTGGGGGGGGGACACAATCTGCCCCGCAGAGCAGCCCCCAGCTGCCGGGGTCACTCAGCACCACAGGGCACCCACCGGGCATGGTGGA